CACACACACACACACACACACACACACCACGCCAAAAGCAAGACATTCTCAGTTGTCCTTATTCCAAATTCAAAACCAAGTGATAACTGAATGTTTCCTGCTTATCTTTCTGATTTTCTGTGTATATCTTTGCTCAAACTGGACTGACTACTCTTCTTTCTGAAGGGCCCTGGTGTTGTGATGACTCTGATTGGGCTGCTAACGCAAGGCCAGCAGTTTGAAACCACCAGCTGCTTCCTGGGAGAACTCTAAGGTGTTCCTACTGGGACAGTCCTACCCTGTCCTATGGGGCCACTATGAGTTGGCAGCAACTCCATGGTAGTGAGTGAGTGAGTGCTCCCTTCTGAGAGGCTGGTGGCTCAGTGATTAAGTGCTCCACTGCACACTGAAGATCAGTAGAGGTTCAAACTTACCAGCTGCTTCACATGAGAAAGCGGTGGACATCAGTCAAGATGGCAGCCTTGGAAACCCTAGGGGTAGTTCTCTGTCCTATAGCACTGCTGTGAGTTTGATTCAACTCCATGGCAATCTTTCACTTTTGGGGGTGTCAGGTGGGGAAAGGGGTTTCCCCTGTACTGTATTTCCTGTAGATAGACTAATGGCTACAGCTCTGACTGCCACGCTAATAGCAATCAGCCACACTAATGACTCACTGGTTTAAATAATACCTATTTCGTTCTCTGTATGCATAACAAAGCATTTGCCACTTCAGTAATCTGCCCACCTATAGCTCCATGCTGTTCAGCATGTTCTTCCTGTTGTTCAGCCATCCCCATTAACCATTCTGAAGGGTTCCGTTGCCCTTCATAGAAGCTCAACAAGCATCACTATACTGTAAAACCTGCAAAAACTGGAACCTGTGTAAGAAGGAAACCTATTAGAAAAGGAAAACTCAAGTATTTTCCACTAAAATGAGCAATCCAAAAGCGAAAAACAAATGAACAAAAGAAAAGTGGTAATCTAAAAGTTGGTTGTGGATTGTGGTAGCAATTGTACAATACTGCTTGAAGTGATTGAACTATGGAATTATATGCTATCTGTATTAGCTCTCAATCAAATGGTTTTGGTGGGGGAAAAGGAATAAGGGGACAAATAAAAAGATTGTGGTGATGCCTACACAGCTTCTTTTAATCTATACAAATCTTTGAATGATGTGGTTTGTGAATTATGTGCCCCCAAACTGTTGTGGGTGGTTTTATTTTAAGACTGTATAAAAATGAAAAGAAAAATGGTGAGGTTGCACTCAAAAACAGAAAACTTGAAAGACCAGCAAAATAAGGCCATTCCCTGGACCTCTGACTTTGACCAGTTTCACTGCATATTTTTATATTCCGTCTTCTCATCTTTATTATGTTCCTCTGAAAGCAGCAACTGATCACTTAGGGCTGTTTTTGTTTTGTTTTTAACTTTTAATCATTTTATTGGGAACTCTTACAGATGTCAATACAATCCATAGAGTGGCTGATCATTTGTAGTGTATCCACCACTGCCATCAAGTCAGTTCCAATGCCAAAAGAGGTCTGAATCTTTGCGGGAGAAGGAAGCATCATCTTTCTCCTGTGAAGTGGCTGGACATTTCAAACTGCAGATCTTGTGGTTAGCAGCCCAACGCATAACCTGCTAACCACTAGGGCTTCTTTTTGTGATATATAGATATAAAAATCAAGCCCCTGAAAAGTAAGAAAACAAAACCCAAGGTAAAACTCCACCAACTCAAAAAGCAAATGGACTCTCATCGATTCAATGACTACTCAGTGAACCAAGAAGACAGAGTAGAACAGCCCCTGTGGGTTTCCAAGGCTAACTTTTTATGGGAGTAGAAAGCTCCGTCTTTCTCCTGAGAAGCGCCTTGTAGTTTTGATCTGTGGACCTTGAAGTTAGCAGTCCAACATAGCACCAGTAGGCCAGCAGGGCTCAGTCATGAAAAACTGATTCTTCAACTCATTCTGCATTCGAATCAGTTAGCTTTTGTTAAAGACAGAAAGTAGAGTGTAAGAATGCAAATGAAAGCATATTCATTTGGAAGCGTGATTCAGCATTAGAACACATTTCCAAATTTGGGATCTTCCTTTGCAAATCCCTTTAGACAAAATCCAGATGACTGGACTCTATGGGTGCCTTCAAAGTTGACCCACCTGCTCCTGGACATGAATTAGGCAACCATTGAAGGACTTTGAGTCGAGTTCTTATGATGCAATGACTAAAGAGCGTGCCTTGGCTACTTCACTTACCTCTTACTCACATATTCCCAGCTCTTGGCTTTCTGAGGATCTCTTTAGCACCTCCTTGAAGCACACTTTCCCACAGCTCTTCAGAGTCTTTGCTGCAATTCTGCTGCACTGTCTCTCCTGGACACTGTCCTTCCTGCTGTGGGGCTGGCACTACATTTCCTTCCACAGGACTCCAAGATAGATGCTGGTCTCAGCACTAGTGGGGCATGCACCCTGGGCTCTTGCTCAGCTTTGCTTTTAGCCCACAGCCTAGATTAGAGGTCTTCCTTCTCTACAGGTTCGACTTGGCTCATAGCAGCCAACCCCTTGCCCACCTCCCACTCTGATTCTGTTCTGCAAGTCTCGGGGAGCTTTCAGTTATAAGAAGCTCAGAGATAATAGTATCGCGGCAAGGGCATGAGTTCCACTGGCAGCATGAAGATACAGGATCATTCATCCCAACCATGAAATGAGTAGGTGGACCAGGTGAGAAATGGGAGTGAAATCATTCATTATTTCTCACCTCAACCGTGGCAGGGAGCACTAATGTAATATTCAGACAGCCCAAGTTCAAGTTCTAGCCTAGGCACTTTCTTTGCCTCAAAGTCGACAGAGTATAAACAAAAATAGAAAAGCGTGAAAGACGAGTGCCATACTGCCTAAGAGCAGGCACGTGTTCTAAACATATACTATTTCATATTTTCAATCAAGAGCAGGCACGTGTTCTAAACATATACTATTTCATATTTTCTAGCATTTGAGTCATCTAGTATCTTGAGTTGCCACCTGTGGTGACCCTATTCTGATTTCCTCTGAAGACGACCTTTCCTCCAGGCGCAGTCGGTGAGGTCCAGGATGGAGTTGTTGCCTCCTCGGCTCCAGGGCTGAAGCATGAGCACTAAGCCTGGTCAGTCAGCAGTTCCCATGTCTCGGGATTGCATCGTTGGTTCAGCCAACCGCAGTGAATCACAGGACTTTTGCTAGAACCTGCCCGAAGAGATTTTCTCTGCTCTTAAAGATCTCAGTGCTGTCATGCTAGGTCCCTAGACACTGAGGCACACACACCTTTCAGTGCCCACAAAAGGGGCAGACCAGAATGAGCAATGAAGAGAAGGAGCAGAGCCAAGAAACAGACCGCAGTGTGAGCTCTGAGTCACACTGACCCAAAGACGTACCTCTTCCTGGACTTTCAGTTACATGAGACAATAAATCCCCATTTTAGGTGCATTTCCTAAAGCTTCAGAGAACTCCACTCAAACTGACTTACTGTATATACTCGTGTTTAAGCCGAGTTTTTCAGCACATTTTAAAAGAAGTTTTTGTGGTATAATTAGGTGCCTCGGCTGATATTTGGGTCGGTTTATACGCAAGTATATACGGTGAGCCATCTTTCTAAATTTTATATTACCATTAAAACACAGTATTGTTATGAAGAGCAAAGAAGATGATGCATGTAAGGAAGGGTTCAAGAATATCAGCAGAAATATGAAACATAAAGATGTAGTAACCCCTTATACCTCCTCTTGCTGCTCTCTCTCCAGTCATATTTAACATCTGATCCTTGTGAAGAAATCATAGGCTTTTGCATAGGGACCAATATTGTCGAATCAGAACAAGCAAAAGCTAAAGACCTTTGGCAGTCAACGCACCCTGGATTTGTTAACATTTTCTCATTGTTTTTTGTAAACTCAGAATGGAGAGCCCGTTTTCAGTTGTTGTTTATTTGATCGTTTGCAGACATTGATGGATTTTGTTGCATTTGTCAAGCAGCGTATTTTCATATTCTATAATTCCGCATGTTTCCCCAAATTCTTGTCAAGTTGTTCAAAGAAAACTAATTATAATCTGGAGTATTGGATGGTTATTAACTTATTGTATTCTCCTCTTATCTTTCACTTAAAAAAAAAAGTTTTGTTGGGACATAATCAACACATCTCCTAAAATTCAGTAGTTCCGTCATGTCAAAAGTGTGCACAAGCCTTACCGTAATCCATTTTAAAACATTTTCTTTTTTCTTATACTCCTTGTTATTAGCTCCCCATTTCCCCCTAACTTCTCCTGCCATACCATCAAGAAACTATTAATCTTGTTACTGTCTCCACAGATACACCTATGCTATATTTCATATGCCCAAAACAGAAAAAACAAAGAAACACAAAGCTAACAATCACAAAACACAATAGAGAAAACCCTTCATGGAAAAGAGAGCAGAAAATATTAAAAATGAGAACAACTTTAAAATGGGTCAAAGGGAGATCAAATGATAAGGTGTTAAATTTGAACCTAACTACCTCTGCCATAATCCACTTTCTAATGCACTCTCCATGAGAGCAAGGCTATTCACATCCCTGGTCTATGATCAGAGGGGATTCATTTCTCCTCTTGTCTTTTGAGACAGCCATGATTTCATTATGTCCTCTACGGCACTGAGGGTTCCAGAACCCTCCGACCTCTGTGGTCTATGACATCACAGCTTGCAGAAACTCTGCAGAACCAGGGATTTGAACGGGAAACTTCACCCTTTGGTCATCAACAGTTGTGAGACTAAGCTTCAGGAGCTACCACTTTAATAGAAATGTGAACATGCTAGACGCTAATAGAAGCCTGAGCTGGATTCCATCAACAACAGGACTCCGTTTTTCTTGAACTCCAAAACGAATGCCGATGACATGGAAACAAGGTGGTGGAATCGAAGCTAAGTTAACTGACAACATGATCAATGATTATGTTTCACATTGAAAGCAGCAGCCAGAGATAAAATCGTCCCATTTTAAGCCATTTGGGTGGCAGAAAGAAGGAGCCACTAAAGGTGACAAGAGCTACCAGGTGACTGTGGGAGTGAAGAAGAAGAGTGGAAATCAGAGCAGAAGGCCCTGCAGTATAGAGGAGACCATGGCGGAACGTGTGGGCCCTGATGGACAGAAATGTGTCAATGTGGATCCTGAAGACCGAAGGTTGGCAGCTGCGACACCTTTTACCCAGATCTGTGCGGGAATGGGTGCAGGAGATGTCAGAGGACAATTCCAGTCTACCCCATATGATCCCTATAGTAAAGCTTCGGTCACCTCAGGAAAGCGGCCTGCTGGTTTTCCTTTCCAGGTGCAGTGCCGACAGGTGGGAAGTAGTGTCCCTTCTGAAACAGTCTCAGAGGCCTCTCAAATACCCCGAAATCCAGCGATGAAAAGGAAGGTACTGCGGAGAATGCCAGGCGGGGAAGTATTAATAACTGATGAAACACTTATCAGCAAGTCAGAGTCTGATACAGAAAATGAGTTGGATCTCTGGGACTTAAGACAACGGCTGATGAACCTACAGTGCCAGGAAGAACGGAAATCCCCAGTTGAAAGTTCACAAAAACGTCATCTACCATCTGGACACGAAGACCAGCCCCTGTACTATTGTCTAAGAGAAGAAATGGGAAGCCCAGCAACTGAACAAGACCTGATTGTTGCCAGCCAACCCAAGTCCTTTATTCCACCAAGACTGGACCAGTTAAGCCGAAACCGAAGCAAGATAGACCGGGTGGCCAGATATTTTGAGTACAAACAAGAATGGGACGCGATGCAGTTGCCTGGTGAAGATCGTAGGAAGGAGCTGCGCTGGGGTGTCCGAGAGAACCTGCTTTGCCGAGCGGAGCCCCAGTGCAAGTCTCAGCACATATATGCTCCAAACAATTACCTCGTACCCACTGAGAAGAAAAGATCTGCCCTGCGCTGGGGTGTCCGCTGTGACCTTGCAAATGGCATCATCCCCAGGAAGTCCTCCTCCTCTCTGTCTCCTTCTTAAAGTCTTTGCCTGCCCTTCTCCTTCCACAAGATTGTCTGGGGTAACCTGGGTCTCTGTTTTAATCTCTTTCAATTAGAAACCACTCACTTCAGTACTCCTAGCAGCTCACATCGAGAGTAATGACCTCAGAAACACGGAGTAAGGACTTCAGCCATCATTGGTCCTTCCAACCGGATACCACGTAGGTTTAACTGCTGGCTTCCACGTCTACCAACTAACAAGGAAAATCTTATCAGAGACAGAAAAACGGGTCTGGTCTTGGGTAAAACTGAGTCAGTGAGCTCCATTTCTGCTCTAAAAACGTTTGACCTTTGACCAACGTGAGCAGCTATGCTTTTATTCGTGGGTTTTTAGAGTTCTGGGGGTTTCGTTTGGCCAATAAAGAATGGAAATTAAATTCGTTTTTTTATTTTGGAAATTAAAATTGTTTTTATAAAAAGAATAAATATGAACAAGTTGTGTACATGAACATATTCGCTTTTTAAAAAAATATTTTGCTTTAGAAAACCTTGGGTTTTCTATGTGGCTTGGGTCTATGTGGCTTATAGATGTGTTTTCTTTTGTTTAGTATTATTTTAGGCTATCTATGAACTATTTATCCTGCACCTGGCCAAATATATTTTCTCTGACCCATCTCAAAGACAGCTGTTTGCTGTTTATTTTCCAGTGCCTGGCCAGCCAAGGAAAATACTGCAAATGTTAGTAAGAGAATCTTGGGTGGCAGTTTAGCAAAAAACATTTGTATTTTACCCTTGACCAAATACCTATGAGTTTAAGTTCAAAGCCCGTCTAGAAGTGCTGGGGGATTGGATATGAAGAGAAAACAAATTTGTGTGCGTATATACATCAGAATAAGTTGTTCACATACTTTCCCCAAAAAAATCCACACACAGGATTAAAATTTCTGAATACTTTATACTAATAAATTATAACAAGCACCCCCTATTTTCTTCCCTCCCCTTCTTTGGGCAGGTAGGCACATCCAGGCAGAGAAATGTTAGAAATTGGGTGGGGGGAGGAAGACATGGGAGCTCCTTCACCCTTTTCTACAGTATAACCTCCTCTGGCACACGAAGCAACACACTGTACTTAATTGTTTTGTTTCCTTTTAAGCATTTCACAAGAGTGTATAAAGATCACTCAGGCCAAAGAAAGGCCGCTGCTGTCTGGTGTGAATTTAAATTGTAGCTTAGTTTGGACTGCTGCTGGGATGCCTGGGCCTCTATCAATCACTTTAAGGAAGGCCCCCATGCTCTGCACAAAGATGTCTGCTACTTGGAATCCCTAAGTCTCTGAATTCCAGAAGCCCAAGGTACATTAAGCAGCATAGCTTGCTCTGCTTCTGCCCCTCTCAGACCCTCCGCTTTCTCCTAAGTCTCCCCTAAAGCCACTCTCAGACTTAGTTCTTGTAAAATCCATGGATTGCACAGGATCATCTAAACGAGCCCTGGTAGTAAGTAGGTGGAGCATCACGTTTCGTTTTCAGGGCATACACACCCACCCATACGCAAATCCAATCTCTGTGTTAATAACTAATAAATATTCTAGTAAGGGTTCTAATGGCCAACAAGAGACAAATTCTTAGCAAACCCCAGTAATCGCATAAATGAGCTACATGGGAAAAATTCAGAGGCCATTCACGTTATTCCCATTCAGTCATATATTAAGATGCAGAGATTGGATAGGAATCTGTCAGGTATACTGGAAATCCGCTCCTGGAGGATTTTTTTTTAAAAGACGTCTTAATTTAATTCAGAATATGTATTTGGGAGAATGCCCACAAACATGAATTAAACACAGCAAATGGAGGCCATTAGCATATGAGCTAAAATAAGTGCTGTAAAACAATTTTTTAATCTGAATTAAATTACCCCAGTGAATGCATAATGTTTATGGAATGTGTTCTCTTTAGGGCAACTGTGTTCTCTCTGGACTTCTCGGGGCGGGGAGGGGCAGGCAGTGAAGAGGAGGGGGGCAGCCATAACAACATACCACAACGTGGGTGGCTTCAAACAACAAAAATCCATTGTCTCTCAGTTCTGGACGCCGAGACCCAGATCAGGGTATTGGCTGGTTGATTCCTTGCTTGGCCCGGAGGGAGAAACTCTTCCGGACCTCTTTCCTAACTTTCTCTTCATTCCCGGTGTTCCTGGGCTTACCGCTGTAGGATCTGCCTGTTCCATTGTACATAAGGGGACTGGGAGTCAGAGTGGACTCCACACCCAGCAACATCATCATCTCTCCTCTCTAAGGCGGGCTCAGGGTTCAGAATGGCCTCAAATTGACCTAGCTGATGATACCGTCAAAGACCTTCTTTATAAACAGGATCATATTCACAGGGGCAAGGTTTACAGCTTTCACATTTCTCTTCAGAAGGGACACCATCCAGTCCTGAACTACGAACTCCTGTTTCCAAATGGAGAAGTAAAGGCGCAGAAAATGTCTAGGACCAGCTCGGTCTCCGTGCTTTGGCTGGACACTCCTCCCTCTAGTCAAACTTGGAGCAAGCATGCTCCAAACGTCTTTATAAAGGATCTACAGGAGTAAGTCAACACTGCAACTAGGGTTCCAGCTCACACACTGGTTTACTACAAACAAAATGCATGTACATGTCTCTGTGATCGGTGAATGCCTGCAAACACATTCTCTCAGGAATATGCTTGTCATCGTCTCGTTAGGGTGCCTTCCAAAACAAAGGACCAATCCAAATAGTGGCTTCCTAGGGACTCTGCTGGTCCAGTGAAATACAAGGCAGAGAGGTCGCCTCAGATTTATGGTGATTTTTAGGTACTTGGGGATTCCAAAGAAGTCATCTTGATGGATTTCTCAAAGAACAAAGGATGATCATGAGAATTTATTAGGGGAAAAAACTTAAGAAATTAGAAAACTGCATTGATGAGGTAAAGTCCAGGAAGCCTGTTCTGAGGACGTTTGTTCCAGCATGACAATGACCAGCTCAATAAAAGGGCCGTCCTAGGAGAATTTCATTGGAGTGCCCCTCAGACTTCCTCTTGTTCCCCAAACTCAAAGAACATTAAAAAGGAACATGGTTTGAGCACCTCAAGGATGCCCAAATTGCTGTTTCGCCTGGTTTAAACCAAAGAAAGCAGAGTTCTTAGGGAAGGGGTTAAAGAGATGGAGGCACTGCCTTTAGACATAGATAGATCTCAATGGACGATATGTTGAGAAATGGTGGCTTCATATTTTGATACTCTGGTTTAAAAGGTTTCTATGACTTTGTAGCAAGATTTCCTTTTTCATTCATCTTTGTACGTATTCTTTGTTGTTGGCTCAGCACATGGTTGAGGCAAAGAACAAGCTCAAGCAGCAGCACATTGGTCTAACCACCAGGGAGAAAGAGAGAGAGGATGCTGGCCTCGCAAAGTATAGATCTCAGTTGTCCTCCAAGCAAGCTGCAACCAGATTAACTCCACCCACATGTTCCTATGGAGGCCTAATTGGCACAATAAACCTATCACAGTCCACCCCTTGCCAAGTTGGCACTAGTACACAATATTTTAGCCATATATAATTTCCAGACATTAATGAAATTATGTTTACACCCAACATCATATAGCTAGCACACATATAAATGAAAATACACCGAACCTATTTGTATCTGGTATATTATACATGAACAAGGAAAAGATACTCAATAAGCACATATAAAGAAATATTGGCAATCACAAGCCTCACTTTTGCAATTGAACATGTGATCGTAGCTGACAGGTAGAACTACCTTCTTCCACTGCCCATTCTGTATTTCCTTTGCCCTCAGCTAGCATCTCAGCTGGCCATGGTTCTTTGCTTGGCAGAGTGATCCAGAACTTAATTCCTGAGGGAAATGAAGTTGGCAGTCTTGTCAGGACTGGGTTGCTGTAGTGTCCCATTTACTTTAATGACAAGGCATGGTAGTACTAAGAGACAACTTACGGGATTTCCTGGATTCCAGACATATTCTTCTTTACCTCCATTATGTAGCACCAGTCCAATGTCTGCTTGGTAACCAGGATAAATCACACCACTCAGTACAGTGATGCCCTTCCTGACCTGTTGATCCAAAGGAACCCCAAATGGCCAGGGGGCATTCTGAGTTGCCAGTTCAGTGGAATCAGTGCTCTGTTTCTAGGTGGGAGTGTTCCTTCCTTCAAATTAGGACCTCCAGGCTTGAAGAGCACAGGGTTGCTGGGACAGGAAGCAAAATGCTGCAAGTACAGTAATGGTAGGAGTAATGGTGAGTGGTGTAACTACTCATTTTTGCACCAATGCTTCAGGGTATCTTGTATTTTTTCCTGCAATACCATGGAATCCTGATCATATTCACATACTTCTTCAAATAGTTGAATGCCAACTAATCGTTTTTGGTACAGTGACTGTGAAATCTATCAATCTTCTTTTGATGCTTCCTGTGCTGTTGACTTTGCCTGTCAATTTGCCACACAGCAGTGGCTTGTACATTTCTGTCAGGCTGGAAGCTGTGCCACCAGTGTTTCAAGCTCCAGCAGGCTGGACAGACTTCAGTGGAGCTTTCAGACTAAGATCAACTAAGTGGAAAAAGCTGGTGGAGACTTCTGAAGGAATTGGCTGTTGAAAACCTTATAAAAAGTAGTGGAACATAACCTGATACAGTGGTGGAAGAGATGAAGCCTCAGATTGGAAGGCATTCAAATTGTAACTGGGAAAGGGCTGCCTCCTCCAAGTTATTGACTTTCATGGAGTTGCTGGAGTAAAGCAGTCAGGCTCTTCGTTTTCTGATGTGGAAGGACTGAAAACGAGAGGAAACCAGCGCATGCATCTATGAAGGACCAGAACATGGACTGCGGGAAGTATGAGCCTGGGAAAAGTAGAAGTCATCAAAATGGAAAGGGAACACACAATGATGGCTATCCTGGGCATTCGTGAGCTGAAATGAGATGGTATTGGCCTTTTTGAATCCGACAATCATCTGGTCCACAGAAATTACAGCCCTGCAAATCCTGCAGGGCAGTTCGACTCAGTTC